AAGAATAAAAAGCCGTATTCTTTATGTGAGATACTGTATATTAGTTTGTCTGTTCTCGCTGTAAACACGGTTATATTGGTTTACCAGAGTAAAATTGTTGAGTGTGAAGACGCATGCATGTTTAAGGTATGCGAATAGATCAAACGTACTGGAACTCTCCCTGGATGAGTATCCGTCCAATCGTCTTTCTGTAAGATATTAACAAGGACCAATGATGAACGAAGATTCCGTATAAAAGAACTTGCTCTTGCATAAACTGAGGCCAGAAATCAGCCGAATAAAATCTGCTTACAAATTACTTTTGGTTTTATAACCACATTAGTCTTCTTGTCACTAGTTGTGTGTTTTGTTTTTGTGTTGATGCGAGAAAGAACAGTTAACTTATTTAACTTATCTCTAGTTGTGTGTTTTGTTTTTGTGTTGATGCGAGAAAGAACAGTTAACTTATTTAACTTATCACTAGTTGTGTGTTTTGTTTTTGTGTTAATGTGAGAAAGAACAGTTAACTTATTTAACTTATCGCTAGTTGTGTGTTTTGTTTTTGTGTTGATGCGAGAAAGAACAGTTAACTTATTTAACTTATCTCTAGTTGTGTGTTTTGTTTTTGTGTTAATGCGAGAAGGAACTGTTAACTATTTTAATTGTCACTATAGTTATGTATGCTGTTTTAACAGTTAACTGATTTAACTTATCAATAGTTGTTTGTGTTATTTCCATGATGATGCAACGAGAAACTCAACTGTTTTAACTGCGAGAATTAGTAAAGAGACAACATGTAAGTTGAGATTTCGTTTAGGATCAACTGAATTTATGTCTTGATTTTACCGTTCATTTTGTTTATATAGGCACAACTGAATGATAACAAAACACTTACGATCTTAATGACACGGTCAAGAAATGTACATAAAATCAGTTAAAACATAGACAACAAACCTTCTCAAAAAGAAACTGCGATCTTAACAACGGATCATGATATTCAATTAAACTAGTTCAATTAACAAATCCTGAAATTGTATTAATGCATTTAAATGACACTAGATGGTACTACGTGTACTTTTTCACGTTATAAAAACTACAAAACTATTTATTAATTATAATTCGTTACGTAACTACAAATATATGTTTATCCTGTTTGCTGTTTAAAATCGAATAAACATTTAAAAACCTGATCTTATGTAGTTCATTGTGTTAAGAACAGTTGCAATTATTATATATGTAACAACCGAACCGAAAGCTTAACACACCCAATTAGCTCTTTATAACCCAAATACGTTATTAAAACCTAAGAAACTGTATATCCCAACCGATTTTACATAATTACTTAGCGCTACAGTATACTCATAAACTTTTTAGTGCTACAGTATATTTAATGTAATTATTTAGCACTACAGTAACGTGTGAAATACATTTGAAATGTATTTGTAAACTGAAGCCGACAGTAGTTTTGTACATTAAAATGCCGTATTCCTTCACTGAAATCACCAAATGCTGTTTAACGTGAAATCGAATTGTAAATAAATTAAAATAGTTTCACTGAAATTAGGAAAACAATGAATATCAAAATGTAACAACTTATAACTAATAAAAAAAACAATACAAACAGCAAAGATAAAAAAGTATAGGTTAGAATTAATTGTGAATGCATTTTGCCTATTTGTCATCAAACATATAAATATATACAAAATTATACCTATAATATATATTTTAACATTTTTAATTACTGTATTTGTAAATAGTGGCGCGTATACAGATAAAGACTGAAACCATAGCGCAAGGGAGGTGAATTGTTATTTATCAGCATTGTATATCGTTAGGCATACTCCTGTACATACTAGTATAGCATTATATATCGTTAGGCATACTCCTGTACATACTAGTATAGCATTATATATCGTTAGGCAAACTACTGTACATACCAGTATAGCAATATATATCGTTAGGCCTACTCCTCTACATACCAGTATAGCATTATATATCGTTAGGCCTACTCCTGTACTTACCAGTATTACATTATATATCGTTAGGCCTACTCCTGTACGGTTAGTTGACATTTCCGGAAAGTCGATGTTCCACTATATTGATCACGAGAGCAGTTCTTTGCGCGTAACGCGGCAAACACAGTGAAATATATAAATAATGTGTATAACATCAATTATATTATTTTTTCAGGGACAAGCAGTTTGCCCCTGAAGAAGAAAGATCCACCTTTCGAAAGCGCTCGGGTTATAGGGTTTTTATTCATTTCTATCAAAACTTCTTGAACCTACGTGTTTCTCTAACACCATCAATTATATCCAACCAATTACAAAAAAATCTTCCTTCAGAATTAGCTCCCCCTGTAGTCGCCGACATTTATGTTACAATTTGGCAATCACTGGCGTCACATTTATCTTCCATCCAAGGGCTTGTAGACCATATATTTTATCAGTGTATACAATGGTTTTCTTTTATTGCAATAATTCTAACGCTCCCACAGCGAGCGTGTTCGGTGACAGGATTCGAATTTGTGAATCGAGTATCCTAACCACCAAGCCATGCCAAACTTGTTATATCTTTATAAAAGTAAAATAGATTTAGTTAAGAAAACAATTCATCCCAGAATACTTTTCTCTGTCATCTGTGTTAGTCACTTATGACGCTGTTTATACACCATATTATTATCCTATAATATGAATATAAATCATAAAAAACTTGTCAGTATTATTAGCTATTACTTAATTAAGTTTATGATATTTTTCTTTTTAGTATTAACTTGGATGAAAGCTTAATATCTTCTTAAGAAACGTGTATTTAGCTTTCTCTAGTGGTGTGCAAAATATCATAATAATATATTGTATCATAATCAAATGCTTGGGCAGTAGAAACATGAAAAATATAACGAAAGTCCAGCATGGATCTTGTACTAACTCAACATACTTCTGTTATTCTGGAACTAATCCAAGACTTTATAAAGTCAACACAGAAAGGTAATTTTGAAAATGAAAAAATAGGAAGTATGAATTTAGCGCCCCCTTATGGCATTTATAGAAATCTTTCGATGTTCTTTTTAGTGAAAGCTACATAATGGGTAGTCTGTAGGGAATCGAACCCCATATTTTAGCGTTGTAAGTCTGGAGACTTAATGCTCATCCACCAAGGGACACTTACGCTGTTTGTTTTTAGTTAAGAACAAAGCTACACAATGGGCCCATCATGGGTATCGAAATCCAATATTTAGACGTGTGGTCTAAACTATTTATATAGTTTAGATAAAATTAAAGTTATATGTTTTTTACGTCAATTAATTAGAGGAAATGCGTATTAATTAGTCATACAAAAAAAGTAAAAAAGAAATATTTGGTTATCAATCACTTGAAACCTGATGTTCAAAAAAATTTGTTACGATTTCTGAAATTTCGCAACTCAAAAGAGTAGAAAGGAATTATAATAAAAAAAAAACTTATAGAATATATATATATATATATATTCAGTATTTTATATAATAAACTTATGATATATATATATATATAT